TCAATTAGTTGCCTATGGTGCCTGTCACATTTCCATGAAATTTGAATATTCATGCCACAGTGAAGTTGGTGAAGTTTGTCTTCTTTGCCCTCAGCTTCACTTTTCTATTCTTCTACTTACCTACCTGCTCTGCCTCCCTTCTCCTCCCCCTTCTCTTCAGGTGTCCAGAGTAATCTTGTAGCCTAAGCCTTTCACTTCAATCACACAAGTAACAATCTGATATGTGACTTATATTTGATTTATTTCTTATAATTTATTGTGGAAACATTTTCTTATGGTGCCACCTAGCAAAGATACGTTGGCATTTTTTGAAGGCAATGTGGCTTAATGAATAGAGAACCAATCTTGAATAAAGAATCCCAGTCCTCCTTCTGATATAAACTAGCTGTATGACTATGAGCTATTTGATCCGTCAGGCAATTCTCTAAGTTAAAAAGGAGTTGATCTGCATTGTCCATTGGGTAGTCTCCACACATAAAAAAATAATATTCTGGACAAAACAAATAAAAAGTAAAACAAACCAACTGATAGAGCAAAAAGCATCTTATGATATTGAATTTAGAGAGATTTTTCTTTTGTTTTTTTAAAATTTTATTTTTTGTATTCTAAACTTAAGAAAAAAACAAGTATTTCCATAACGTAGTAGAATAGAAAAAAAAGATGATTGCATGTAAAACTACAAATCTATTTTGTACAACTTACTGTTACTTTTAAATATATAATAAAGTTGTCAAGTAATTTTCTTTTTTTTCCCTTTCTTACTTCCTGCCCCCCACAACCTAGAGATGGCTACCATTAGACACAATATGTATATAGAAGGATTCTTTTCTCGAAGAGGGCTTCTTTCAGAATATAGAACATCTAAGCTTTAAGCGATCATCAAGATTACCTTACTCCAATCTCTTCATTTTGTAAATGGTCTCCCAGTAGGGCAGCTAAGGGGGTGCAATGGATAGAGTATGGAGCCTGTAGTCATGAATACTCATCTTCCTGAGTTCAAATTTGGCCTCAGACCCTTACTAGCTGTATGACCCTGTGTAAGTCACTTAACCCTATTTGCCTCAGTTTCTTCATCTGTAAAATGAGCTGGAGAAGGAAATGGCAAACCACTCTAGTATCTTTGCCAAGAAAACCCCAAATGGGGTCACACAGAGTTGGACACAACTGAACAAGTCACTTAACTTCTCAGTGCCCCAGGCAAACTCTTTAAAAGTATAAATTGCAGAGTAAGAGCTAATTTATGAGGGCATGCTCTCTTTTGCACAAATAAAGTTTCCTTACGAGGAATTTCCTATATCTGTGAAATCAGAGCCCACAAAACAATAAAAACAAAGACAAAAACAAATAAACAAAAATGATGTCTAAAGTCATACACACAATTAGCAACTGGTCAAAAGTCATAAAAACAATAAGCCACATTTTAAGAGTGCCTGCGGTTGGTGGTGGAATGAAAAGGGGATGATTTTTAATTCCTTCCAGTTCCTTGGTTCCCTAAGAGTGGACATGCTGTGAACTGCAAGCCTTAAGCTATGGGGGACCTTTTTTTGAAAGTTCTTAATGGGGGCAGCTAGGTGGCACAGTGGATACAGCATAGGCCCTGAAGTCAGGAGGACCTGAGTTCAAATTTGGCCTCAGACCAAACACCTGATACTTACTAGCTGTGTGACCCTGGGCAAGTCACTTAAACCCAATTGCCTAAAAAAAAAAAGTTCTTAGGGGAAAAGGAAGCCAACCGTGCCAAGTGCTTCTTATAGCTAGAGTTCATCCGGCCCAAGTACAGATGTTCATGACTAGCTCCTTTAACACTTCTGTATCCCTTCCTCCCCACTACTTTCCCTGCTTGTGCATGGATAGAATCTTTCTCTATTTCCCCATATTTTATGCCTACCTTTCCTCTTGACCAAAACTCTCAAGATATCAAAGATTCAGATCCTTTCTCACTATGTTCTCTTTTTTTCCCATGTCACTGTTTTCAGTCTGGGTCTACATTCATAAAGATTACTATATACAGCTTCATGGCCTGGTGATACCCAAAACTTTTGGGTTTGGACTGCCAAGTGAACAGCTAAATATACTGTTTAGTTTCCAGACAGTGTCCCCATCCCTGCCCCAGGTCATGATAGGCAGACCTATGGGAACATTATCGGAAACATCAACCTGGGCCCTAGTGGTAGGGAACAGGAGCATTAGGGAGTTAGATTGAGGATCTGTGTATGAGTATCGTATTCTATATTTGCGCATGATATTAGGATTAAAGTGTATGTGATATGATAGGAAATTCCTAATATTGATGCCAATCATAGAGACAGAAAAACTAACAAAAAGAGAGAAACTATAAAAATGCAGTTTATATATAACTAATATTAATTATAGCCATTTTCATAAACTGCTTATCTTGTGTGAACTGCTATGTAGCATGATAATTTAACTTATAAAATTATTCTAAGTGAAATTCATTCATTTTATGTGCTATTCATTTTTATGATTTTCATGAAATCAGAATGTTAGAACTAGAAGGGACATAAAAGAACATTTAATTCATCCCTCATTGTATAAAATGAGGAAACAGAGACCCAGAGAAGTTGTCACCTGTCCAAATTCACACATTTAGTATTATTTGACTATATTCTAAACTGCATTCTATGTTTAGCCTTCAGCATTTATTATTCACATAGCTTTGTCATCTGTCTATAACTGAGAAAAATTTTAAAGGGATATTAATTATTCAACTTTTGCATATCAGATTAAGCTTCTTCATGTCAATCTCTTGGAAATGTTACAATGAGTATTAATAAAATTTAGTTTCTCTAAAAAGAAATACTTTCCAAAAAATAAAGAATTTCAGTCTGTATTGCAAATACCAAAGAGAAATCATAATAATGAAACTGGAATAGCCATATAAGATTAAATATTGTCTCTAAGAGCCAAATTTTGATAAGCCCCCCCTGCTTGTTAGTCACATGCTACAATAGATTTTTTTGTAGAAAGGCCCCCTTCCTTTCAGAGCATAGCATCCCCAACTCAAGGATGCAAGAGCTGCTTATATATCTATATATAACTATTTCTAAGCACAAAAATTATATTATTTTCTTATTTATCATCATATTTTCTTAAGGTTTCCAACTGGACATATTTGTTATATTTTCTTAGCGTATTACCAGCCTCCTTGTGTGTCTCTGATTGCCAAGCTGAATATTTCTAGGCTCAAGGTTGTGACTTAATTATATTTGCTTCTGTCTTTATTTTCATATCTTTCTTTTCAAACCAACCCTCCTGACTGCCATGGGAGACTGTTCCTAGCAGACGAAACATGAGTTGAGTATGCTGAATAAGATTTTCAGTATGAAATATCCCTTTGATCAGAGACTGCAAAGCATTACCACGGATACCAGTATAATCAACTTCAAATTCATGAGATATGGTGGGAAATAATACTAGCAAAAGATGATGACTCCATAAATCCACCAAGATGGGACACATGAATTGTGGAAGAATTTAATGTGCTCACTACCTCCTTGAAATTTACTGTAAGGAAAGATTCATTTGACAAGTATGTTTTGCAAGTCTACTATCAAGAACATCACAAAATCCTTTTACAGGCAAACCAGGCAAAAATTAGTTTTAAAAAGAGCAATGGCTCACTTGAAAGGAATGTGGCTGTCCTCAAAATAAGTCTGCATCCTCTCTTCTTCAGAAAGGTGGCAGTATTGCTTCACAATTCTTGATAGAAATTTAAGGTCTTTGGGAGGCCTTTGAATGAATAATACTCATCACACTTCACCAAATTGAGAAATGGCTTGATCAACTGCAATGTTAATATCTCAAAGGCCAGAAACACACACACACACACACACACACACACACACACACACACACACACACACTGCAGAACCCCCTTGGAGTTATGGTTTGCATTTATATTCTGGAGTTTCGATAACATTGCTAATGCTGTGACTATTGAAGTCTACTTCTGGTAAACACTTCACTCCCATTATCATTCTTACAAACCTCAGGTGTCACGATAAAAAATAAAATAGAGCAACAAGAACTAAAAGAGGCATTTTGGAAAACTTAGAATTAGAAATAAGAAAACTCTCTAGGGTTCTTCTAAACAAAAGTTTTGGTAAATATGAATATTGTCCTAAAGTATAGAATCCTAAAGTAAAACATCATACAATATTAATTCCCCAGATATTGAACTGCATAGCCCAGTGAATCATTCCAGTTTTATGTATATAGTTAATTAAGAAGTATTTAGAGGAAAAATGTGCACAGGTGTATATGAATACTCACTTGCTGGACTTTATCTGTAGGAATTTGAATAAAGACTTTCTGTTGAGGAGGGGTTGGCCCCTTCAGGCCCCTTCACTCACCTTCACTCAGAGAGAATGTTCTTTTAGAAGTTTCTCTGCTCTCCACTAACACAGAAGATTTGGGATAGATTCTCAGTTTATAAATATCAGATGGTTGTGAAGGAACTGTGGCACTGGGTCTTTTTTATGCAGTGATGTCATTTTAAATAAATTTGCTATTTTTACTTCCCCCAAGTGACTTTTCTTTTTTGGAAATGCGTTTATTTGAATTAGTTGTGTCCTAACTGATCTCTAGGTTCTAATACACTAGTACCAGGTTTGTCTTCTCAGGAATTATAACCTCATATACCAAAAAGCACAAACTGGAGATTCCTTGTTTGTTCCATTCAGAACCTACTCCTTCATATGTATGACCCAATTTACTAGGTATAAAGGAAATGAAAATTAATAGGAGTTACTACAATCCAAATACGAAACACAGATGAACTAAAAGCAAAGAAATAGGACAATACAATCATCCTTCAATTTAAATGCAAGTCTGTCCCAGAATATTGGGGGGGGCAGAATTGTGGCAGTATTAACAATTTGTTATTATTTACCTTGTTTGGGGCTTCAAACACATTTATTAAAAGTAAACAAGACTTGCAGAAGAAGAAAGTGTAAGGAGGAATACCAAATTAGCCCTACCTGATCTGAACTTGCTCCGAATCAACAAAGAATGCTCAGACCCCAGGAGTGTCATGGTGTTTCTCAGCAAGCAGTCCTGTGCCAGAAACCCCACCCTGATTTCAGCCAGGAGGCAAAATGACCACAGCTAATAACTCAGAATTCATCCAGTGTTTGTTGTGCTTTCCTGGGGACTTGTCTCGCAGCAGCCGGTGCCTCAAACCAGTTTGGATGCAGTGAACACTGATCCTAACAGAAAACTAACTGCTCACCCCTTGCTGTGCAGAACTAATTACTCAGCCAGCAGGATTCTCCTCCTCCTCAGAAGTTATTATGATCATCATAGGCTTTCTTGGCTGATGTCATAGCCTACCAGGGATCAGAGAGTATTGCTAACAAGTTTTTAGTAAGGTCTCAAGTTTGATATCTGATACCCATTACTACTGATAGGAGCTCAGCCAATCAGAAGCTTATTGCTTGGACCTGGAACTTGGAGCCGCCAAGAGAATAACTGCGCAGCTGGTTTAACTCTTTCTAGCATGCTGAGCTGTCCCAGAGAGCATACATGTATGAGCTGCGGTGGGCGGGGGAAAGAATGATAATGGGTCAGTAATCCTTCCATACAGCCTTAGCAAATTTAAGAAACGAAGAAGAGTTACAACGTTGTTAGGCTTTCAAATAGTGATCTGTGCATGGGGAATAACCTTTCAGGGACTAGGAATTTGTCAAAACAAACCAAGGATTTCCTTAGCCCATGTTTTGACCTTGCAGTAAGAAACAGATAGTAGTAGATTTTTGTAGGAATCAATTGTCTTTAGGAGCTTAGTTTTATTGGGGGCTATCAGGAAAATCCCCAAAGCTGTTATGGGGCCCTCAGTTTTCAACATATTTGCGTTCCTGCAGGGCAGTTTGGATTTGTAGCACTCAGGAAAGAGATAAGCCGAAGCACTTCAAAATAAACAAAACTTCCAGTGGAACATACTGTCCTCAGATCTTCTTTTGGTCCCACGGGCCTAGTACAGCTAGACCAGGGAGATTATCTTATATTGGGGTTTCTTCTCAAGAATCAAATCTTAAACAACTTCAATGAAAAATCACACCATTTATTAGATTATCTGACTTAGTTTTTGCAAATGAAGTACATTACACACACAGACTGGGCGCTGTTGTTGCCCCTGTCATACTGAACCAAAAACCATCTTGTTCACAGAAAAGGGATACACTGAAGTCACCAAGCAAGGTCTGTATCCAGCAACTAATCTCACCAACCAGGTGATTACAAAGGGAAAAGCTCACAGGCATTTGGAAGCAAAGTTAAATTCTTTCTATGAATGAATTCTGTTTTTGTTCAGTAGAGTATCGTCACATTTAAAGTTTCTCCCTAAACCTTACTGCTACAGGTTCCAAGCCACACCACAGCTTCTGCATTTCCTTCCTTTTATACTAAAACTGATAGCATGTGGAAATGAAGAGTGATGCATTCCCAATTTGGCAGTAAAATTTACGAAATGGAAATAGCTAACGCTTTTTGGTGAATGGTAGTTATGATATTCAAATTCTGAATCTCAGTTTATAGTACTGAGGAATAGGCATATAGGTTCCAGAAAGTTTGAACGATTATTTCCTCAAATCTGAGAACTGATTTTCCAGGAGAAAGTCAGGTTAGTGAATCATTCCTAGCAGGATTGTATATGTGTTTTGGTAGAGTGGGACAGAGGTACTACCTTGACTATCAATGGAGATCCTTTCACCCATGCAGCTAGGTAACTTGTCTGCAACTTAAATTCTTAGAAATTTGAGACATTGAAAGGTAGAGTTTATTCTGGCAAATCATGTTGTGTGCACTCCAACTTGAACATTTCTGTGGCAGTGAAATCAAGTTAAATTGAGCATCAAGTGAAACTTTAAAGGTGTGTGGGGTGGGGAAAAATCTGAAAGACAACATGGAGGGAAAACTGTCAAGGGCTTAAGGATGCTTCTTATGATTCTATTATGTGACTTCCTATTAGTGATTGAGGAGGGAAGGTAGGAGATGCTATTGACTGAATGTATGTCAGCACTTCAGGTCTTTTGCACAAACCTGAAGTCATCCCATTCCCTTGTTTCCAACCCCTTCTCCACCCTTCACTGACAAGTTGCCTGTTTCCCAAGGTTGGGGGTGGAGAACAAAGAATGAGTTCTGAGATACTCTGATAAAGAGAATGTAGGGGAAAATGTTTCATTTTCTAATTAGTGAATCTAAGTAAAAAGTTTTGTTCTGTGTGACTATTTTAAAATAGCCAAATAGATTTTATCCTGAGAACTTTGGGGTCAAAGGCAAATACTGTGTATGTCAACTCAAAAGGGAATTTTTTTTTTTGTAAAAGTTGTAAAAACAGCTGAAGCAAACATAAAATGTAAGGGTCTGCATGACCTCAACTAGTTGGCCAGAAGTGTTTGCCATCTGAGGGTTTATATGCAACAGTGGATAACATGCTCATCTAGGATATCTGGATTCGAGGGTAGACTGGAGCACTCTCTGTCTTCCAGGACATTAATGTTATCAGGGACAGCTTTATCCTTTGTGTGCTTCATTAGGATGGAGTTATTGATATCTGCCTCCTGAGTATTAATATTTTTTTTCTGAGTATTAATATTAATGGACTTTGAAAACTTCCAGTAAAAGTTACTTCTTTTAAAAAAGAAATCATTTTTTTAATCAGAAAATGTCTACCTTTTTTCTCTTCCACCCCAACCCTTCCCCCCAAATGAGACTTTAAGAAAAACAAAATCCCTTATTACAAACACGTATACTTAAGCAAAACAAATTTCCATATTTGCTATGCCCCTCCCCCCAAAAAAGTCTAATTCTGTACTCTGAGTTCTTCACTTTTGTATGAGGAGGTGGGTAGTATGTTTCATCTTCAGTCCTCTGGAATCATGGTTAATTATTATGTTGATCAGTATTCTGGATTCTTTCAAAATTGCTTGCCTTTATCATATTGTTGTCTGCATATATATTTTTCTGCTGATTGTGTCCACTTCACTCTGAATAAGTTCACACAAGTCTTTATAGGTTTATCTGAAACCATCTCCTTCATCATTTCTTAAAGCACAATAGTATTCCATCATATTTATGTACCAAAACTAGTTCAACCACTCCCTACTTTGTGGGCATCCCCTCAGATTCCAGTCTTTGAGACCTCTAAAAGAACTATAAATAATTTTTCTACATCCTTAGAGTTTGTTTTGCTTAAGACTCATCTCTCCCTTAATCTACCTTCCTTTTAATTTCACTTTCTTACTTTCTATTTCCCTATGAAGCTAAATGCATTTCTATACTCATGTGTTTGTGTTCTTTCCTCCTTCGATCAGTTCAGAGGAGAGTGAAATTCAAGTATCAGCCATTCATCCCCACTCCTTTCTACTTGTCTACTGGCACATCTTGATTATGTGAGATAATTTTTTCTAATCTTCTTTTCCCTTCTGATCTCCCAAAGTATATTTCTTGCCCCCTTTTTTCCATTCTTCTCTTAAGATCATCAAGATATAAAAGAACTAATTAATTTTTCCAGCCTTTTGATTTTGTTTTAATGTTTCTTGTTGTTTGGTAGAATCATGTCACTTGGGTAAGGTACCTTTTATGCCAACCTGTTAATTGTCTTCCCAATTCTTTCATCTATAGTTCTCATCTCTTTTCCAATATTTTCTATTAGCATTCTCTGTTAGCATTTATAAAAGTATTTTTAACTTTTTAAAACATTCTTACTTCAGCTCTCAGAATTCTAGTTGAATTTGTGGCCAAACTGTTTTCCTTTGAGTCTTTGTTTGTAGATGTTTTAGAGTCATTTTCTTCTTTGAGGTATTGCGATAATAGCTTTTTATGGTAGGATTCTTCTTTTTTAAAAAGTGTTCATTTTTCCAGTCTATTTCCTGATTTTAGACTTGATTTTAGGCCATGCTCTGCACATTTCTGAAGGGAAGGCCTAGGCTGGATCTGTTGTTCTTTTCTTCGGATATTAAATATTATGTTATTCTAGGATCTCAGGGACACTTTCGCGTGGGTTCAATACTTCCAAAATGGCCTGGTACAAGGCAATGTCTCCTATCTTTCTCCTTACTTTCCTACTTTATCCACTTTGTCTGAGTTCTTGAAAGTTCCTGACTTCCTCCCTCTTCTCCCAAAAAATCCTTTAAAATAATGCCTCAAATAAAATTTTGGTGTGGCAGAGCCAACAAAAGGGCAAAATGAGACATTTTCCCAGCCTAAGAAAACATTGGAGGTCATCAGGAAAACTCTGTGATTCCAGAGTGAAAGCTAGTTTGGAGCACACATGTCACAGCAGCAGAGCCACTGCTAAAGCAGCCACAGTCACAGCCACAGCTGCAGCCCTAACAGCAGCAGCTTTGGGAGTTCTCAGCCCAGGTTTGGCAAAGGGATCAGGCAACTGGTCAGAAAGAAATGGCAGGGAACTTGTTGCTGGCACTGGGGACAACAGACACTGATTGGCAATTCTATTGCCTGTATGTAGTTCTGAGTCACAGTTCCAGGGTGGAGAGGAGTGCTAATGCTTGAAGTGGCAGGGGAACAGGGGGCCTGGTCACAGTTCTGGGGCAGAGAAGAGCATTAGCACTTGTGGTTGCAAAAGAACAATGGACCTGGTCATAGTTCCAGGGCAAAGAGGAGTGCTAATTTTGATAATGAGTGATTGTAATATAATTTAAGATCTTGTACTGCTACACCTACTTCAGTTACATCTTTTTCATTAGTTCCTGTGATATTCTTGACTTTTTGTTCTTTCAGATGAATTTTATTATTATTTTTTCTAATGCAGTAAAATAATTTTTGGTAAAATAATTGGGATGACATTGGATATATAAATCAGTTTAGGTAAATTTGTCATTTTTGTTATGTTGGCCCTGCCTACCCATGAACAACTAATATTTCTACAATTATTTAAATCTGACTTTAGTCGTATGAAAAGGTTTTTTTTATAATTTTGTTCATATAGTTCCTGAGTTTGCTAGGGTTTGTGGATGTAGGGGAACAAGGGTCCATTTTGGGTAAAGATCAGAGTGCAGATCAGGAGAGCAATGACCACAGCTCTCCCAGGATTACACCTTGGAAGCACCAAAAACTTGAAGACCCTCAGAACTAGCTCTGAAAACAGTGGCATGAAAACCTTGAAGCTTGGGACAGTGCCTCCCCACCCCTAGGTGAGCAGAGCACAATTTTAATGTAAAGTTAAAAGTCAAGAAAAAAGGCTAGAAAAAATGAGCAAACAAAAGAAAAAGATGTTGGCCATAAAACTACTACAGTGGCAGGGAAGACCAAGACATAAACTCAGAAGACAATAACATGAAAACAGCTACAATCAAAGCCTCCCCCTCTCCCCAGAAAAATGCTAATTGGACACAAGATTGATAGGAATTCCTG